AGCCAGTGTGGTGACAATCATAGAGATGCCAGCTTGGGCTCCCCTGGGTCAGATCCTGCACCTGCGGCATGATGACTTCATTACCGTTATTCACTATAACTGATGGAACCGCCAAGGTCAGAAACTAGCAACTTAGAGGGGATTTTTTGCATTCACATTTTGCATGAGGAGAGTTTAATATTGACACCAGTATCCACTGTTGAATGTGATTATTCACTATCACTTAAAAGCAGTGTCGCTGCTACTGAAAACAAACAATCCTTTATAGAGGATGTTCAATTTTTTTAAACCATTCTTTTTAAACCAAAATTCCACCTTTTATAGAAATGGTGGATAAAGCTCTGACTCTCCTATATGAGTCCTTTGGGTCCCAGGGCCATGATATGCCCTCTCCTGAGGTCAAGTCCAAAGGCAGGTGTCCCAGGTGTGCAGGGGCAGCTCCCATCACTGGGCTGGGAGCACTTTTCCAGTAGATCCAGTGCTTTGAGCCTCGCCCTGGGGCAGAGCCGTGGGCACCGTGCAGCTGCGGCCGCCCACATGTGGGCCAGGCCTCACAGATGGCATTGAGGTGGACAGGCAGAAGTCATGCCAGCTGCTTCCCTCACAGAGAACAAGGGGGAGCTGGGGAGGCCGGCTCCCCGACAGGAAGCAGAAACCTACACAGAGAGTTGTCAGCCCAGCAGTCCCGGCCAGAGCCTACTGCCGGTGTAGGCGGCGTTACAGGGAGCAGGCTCCAGGAAACCGCTTTCTCAGGCTTTCTGCTGTTCTTGGCCTTCCCCTGGCCCTGGCATCAGGCTGCCCACGCTGCCCTGTGAGGAGGTGCCTGAGCCTCTTTGGCCAGCCTCATCCTTCAGGCCCAGTTTGCAGCTGAAGCCTGGCTTGGCCGTTTGGCCTGGCCTGGATTTTCCACATGCGTTGTCCTGGCCAATTTCCGCCATCAGTGAAGTCCTTGTCATCGCGTCATAAATCTAAAGGAGGGAACAAACACACAGCGCAAGTCGAAGTTCATGGATTTGTGTTGGATGGGGGTGAAGGGAAGGAAAGTTGATTCACGTTCAGAAGACACGGTGTTCGCTGGATGTTCCTTGATGGACTTGCATGTCTTGCCCCCGTGCTAGGAGTCAGGGAGGCTGCCCTTGACCCTTCTCTCAGATGAAATGCTCTCCAGTTAAATAGTCTCTTTTTCTAAAGCAAAACTGACTTCCCCTCTAAACAGAGACATTTCTGGACCAGCCACTTAGCTGTTCTTGGGCGTGTGAAGGGGAGCCCTGATGTGTGTCTTGGTGACTCATTTGATGATGACACCATTGTTTGAAGTTGCATAATCAACACTGTTTCCCCTCCCCCTCTCTTCCCCCCACCACCCCCAACAATCTGGGATTTTCCATCATTTTGTCAACCTTCCTGCAGGCATGTTGATTTTTCCACTACATTTTTTTGGGGCACTTCCCAGGGCAACCCAAATTCTCCACTCCCCAGATCTTCAGATTCCCGCTCCCTGGAGGGCCTGGGAGCAGTTGAGAGAAGCCTCCTGGGCCTCTGGGGCGGATGGACTCTGAACTGCGTCCTGACAGCCTCGCTCAAAGCTCAAAGCCTGGAGCAGACAGAGGGAAGGTGCTGGCTGCCCTTCTCCTTGTAATGTAGTTCCAGTCACTTCCATGTTCAAAAGCAACATATCGCCTCCTTTTCTTTCCTCCAAAGGTCACCCATTGTAATCGTTTCCCTCGTATGTTTCCATTCCATTCAGCCAAGAACACATTTGCGTATGTCCATGGGAGTGTTTGGCTTGCCAGGGTTTAGAGATGGCTAGTTGAGGAACCTCTACTGTGGCCATGCCCAGAACGCAGCCCTTTGGTAAGCCAGTTTCCTAGGGTGCCCTGGAGACAGAGGCTGAGGAAGCGTGTCACTGAAGGTCACAGGATGGCCAGGAGGAATTCTCCCGTCATTTCTTTGCTTATTAACTTTTTTTGGGGGGAAATTGTGCCTGAAGTCGATTCAGACATTGTGTGTTCTGGCTGTGGACATGGTCTGCAAGTACAAGAAGGATTGAGCCCTAACCGGTTTGGCTCAGTGGCTAGAGCATCAGCCTGTGGACTGAAAGGTCCCAGGTTCGATTCTGGTCAAGGGCATGCACCTCGGTTATGGGCACTTACCCTGTAGGGACTGTGCAAGAGGCAGCCAATCGATGTTTCTCTATCATCGATGTTTCTCACTCTCTATCCCTCTCTTTTCTTCTCTGTAAAAAAAAATCAATAAAATTATTTTTTAAAAAAAGAAGGATTGAACATTGAAGAGATAAAGATGTCCGTGGGTCCAGCAAAGGGCATCATGTTTGTGAGTCTGCAGACTTTGATACCTCGTTCTTCCTTCCTACCTGCATACATCAGTTTTACAGCTGTCACCTCCTACATGCATTTCAAACTTGTTTGCTCACCCTATCTGCTGTGCTGCCTTCCCAGTCAAAGCCACCATCATCTCTCACCACAGCTAATAACTTTTTAACAAGTCTACCCACATCCATTTATAGTTGCCTCCTGCACAGAGCAGCGAAGGTGTCTTCTTTAGATTTTCCATTTTCTAAATGTGGTGAAGTAAACATAACCAAATTTTACCATCGTCATCGTTTTTAAGTGGACAGGTATGCCGAGTGTTGTGCACCCACCACCACCATCCATCCATCCCGGGAGCTCTTGGCATCTTGTAAAATGGAAACTGTTTCCAGTCCACAGCAACTCTCTGTTCTCTTCCTCCCCCAGGCCCTGCCACCCACCCGTCTACCTTCTGTCTCTATGGATTTGACTCTTCCAAGTACTTCATCTCCTTAGTCTTTTGTGACTGGTTTCTTTCACTTAACATAATGTGAAGGATCCATCCATGCTGTGTATGTCAGAATTTCCTTCCTTTTTAAGGAAGGAAGCAGTAGAGTATTGTATGAATAGTATTGCATTGTGTGCATATACTATATGTTGCTTATCTATTTGCCTGTTGGTGAACACTTAGGTTGCCTCCACATTTTATATCATGTGAGTAATGCTGCAGTGAACACAAGAGTACACATATGCAGATGATGGGACATCCATTGCCATCCCCTGTGGGTGTCACGTCACAGCCTAGAGGGTCTAAGGCACACCAGTACAGGTGTTCAACTCTTGGGTCGATAGAAAGCTCCTAACAGTGCACATCAGCAACAAAACAACCTCAAACAGCACTAGGTAGAAATGAACAAAATGTTTGGAAATACATTTCTCCAAAGAAGATACAAAAATGGACAGTGAGCACATGGGGTGATGATTAAATATTAATAATCACCCATTAACCATGAGGGAAATACAAATCAGCAGGGAACATCATTACTCATTAGGAAAATATAAATCAGCATCATTCATCATTCATCATTAGGGAAATACAAATAAAGACCACAGTGTAATAGGGTGGCTACTATTCCCTGCTCCCTACCCTCCCCCCCCCCCCCATAAAAACACACCCAGAATGTAATAGTAAGTGTTGGCAAACTTCAGAACTCCTGTGCGCTCTTGCTGGGAGATTGAAATCATGTGGCCACTTTGAGGAAAGCAGGATGGCGGTTCCTTGACAAATAAAATACAGATCTTAATGTGGTCATGCATAAAACTCTCAATGACTTTGTAGTCTACTTGGGATAAAACTATAATGTCCTTCACACACTCCTGGCTTTCTAACCTCATCCCAAACAGCTGGCCCCTGCCACTCTGCTGCAGCTTCTGATCTTTTTGAGACTAAAACAGGCCAAGTTTTCTCTCCTCCCCCTCACCATGACCTTCATTGATGCGGTCCCTTTATCTAGGATCATCGTCCTCTAACGGTCATTAGGATAACTTGAACTCTGTGTTAGAAATACAGACTGCCAGGCCCACCTCCTCGAGGAAGGCTGGAGAATGTCTGGGAATTGGCATTTCCAACACATTCCAGCTGATGCAGATACAGCTGGTCTAGGGGACCACACTTTGAGAACCCATTGGTCTAGAACAGTGGTTAGCAAACTCATGAGTCAAATATCAACAGGACAATGATTGACATTTCTTTGGAGAGCCCATTTTTTTTAAACTTAAACTCCTTCTAATGCTACTTCTTCAAAATAGACTCGCCCAGGCCATGGTAGTTTGTGAAAGAGCCACACTCAAGGGGCCAAAGAGCCGCATGTGGCTCGTGAGCCGCAGTTTGCTGACCATAGGTCTAGAATATTTTTCTCCTTTAAGTTTCTATATGTCCTTTAGATCTCAAGTCAAAAGTCTTTCTCTTCGCCTAAGGGACGCCTTCTCTGATTTCTCCAGACCAACAGGAATTCCTGTTTTATCTTCTACATCTCTGAAGCCCTTAGTCACGTTTCGGACATTTAATTGTGTAAATCATTTTTTAATGACCGTATCTCCTGCCAGAATCGGATCTTCAGCTCCAGGAGTTGGGGGCTTACTTCTGTCTGTTTATTGATTTCTCTGAAAATCCTTGCATATAGCAAATGCTACATAATTATTTGTTGAATGGATGAGTATTATTTCCTTTTCATAGGTAACTGGAAGGATGCGGGAACATTCATCCTCCCTGTGAATGATGAAGGATAAACAGAAATGGTGGCGGAATTAGTAGAGCTATATGGAAAGAATAAACATACTTTGTTAATCAGGGGTGTAGGACAGTGTAGATAAGAGTCAGATTTTTTTTAAGAGGCCTCGCAAACTTTGAGAAGGGCCTGCCATTCCCCATTTTACCTGGCCCTGTGAGGCTGTTAGGTCAGTGATTTTTCAGCTTGCCTTCTCCAGACCATTCATGCCCTACTCTGTTTTATGGGTGGTTAATCACCCATTTAGTTTTATTTCTCTAAAATGGAGATATAATGGACAAATATCACTATATTAATCTAGATGTACAATATAATGGTGTGCTATTTGTACAGTACTGCAGAATGAGCCTTCACCTATTTAGTGTGAATTCTTCATGTGCTGTTTTTTTTTTTTTTCTTACAGATATGGAATGTGCAGATGTCCCACTACTAACCCCAAGCAGCAAGGAGATGATGTCTCAGGCACTGAAAGCCACTTTCAGCGGTTTCTCCAAAGAGCAGCAAAGACTGGGGATCCCAAAAGGTATGTTCTGTCCTTGGGAAAGAGGTTGGGAGCAGGCTTTTCGGGGAGGTTCGTCTTCCCACCTGAGTGTGAGGTAGCAGATGTGGCTGCAGGGCGTGGCAGAATCTGCTGGAACAACTGCCCACACGTGCTGACCTTCCCATCTCCCGGCCCCTCGCTGCCACCTTGGTCAAACTTGTTCCCAAACTTGTTTGCACATTAAATGTAAGATCTTAAAAATAAAAAAAAAGTCCCCAGCCCGGGCCGTGTCCCAGACCAATTAAATCACAATTGCTGGGAACGCCAGTGGCTTTGAAGCTTCTCCAGTGATGCCCCATACAGACACTTTGGAAAAAAAATCACGGTTTCAGAGCCGTGCCCTGGGTAAGCTCCTGAGCTCCGTTTCTTGGAATGTACTGATTGCTCTGTTCTTGTCCGTGTGCTGCGGTGCAGCGTGTTTATCCTTGGGTGTTCTCCTCTGAAAGGGTTTATTCAGGAATGCGAGGGGACTCTGGTTGTCAGAAAGGAGAACTGACCGGGGAACACTTAAGCCTTCACGCAGCAACATTTCCTGAATAGCTGCGAGCAGGAAGAACACTGGGCTATTGAGTAAGAGCGAGGCTGCCTTGAGAGCCGTCCGGACAGGCCTCCAACCCAGTGGGAACCAAGCCCCAGGCAGAGCCTGGGAATGGGTCTGCACCTCTCTCAGGGGTGCTGCTCCATCGCAGCCTCTGCCTACAGCAACGCCCAGCATCCTCTCAGGGTCACGGGCGGGAGAAAGTGAGTCTCCACCAGCCTCTCATCAAGTTGCCTGCTCCGTGGAAGGGGTGACCTTGAGAGCAGGTATGTGGGCCCTGCAGCCTGCCACCATCGGAGTTCTTCAGGTGTCCTGGTTGGTGCTGCCACGTGCGAATGTGGTCATGTGAAAGCTCGGGCCACGTGGGAAGGGTATGCAGAGTGTGTGCTGTGGAGTTGGGCAGTGCTAGGATTGTCATAAGGACGCACTTTGCAGGGGGTGTAGGTTAATACAGGCACCTTATAAGTACCATTCCAGTGACTGACTGTAACTAATTGCTATGGTTATTACCAACCATAATTAGCTAAGATAAAAATTAAGAATAACAGTCCCAAGTACCCTGTAGGAGGAAGGAGCAGAGCAAACGTGATTTCGTTATTATTGCTCTTAAAAAACTCATCTGATCCTCGTCCCGGGCTTTGCAAAAAGCCTACTGAGAATCAGGCCTGGAGACGGGAGCAAGTTTGGAAAACTTGTCTGCATGGAGGGTAGAAAACACTCGCGTGTTCCTCTTTGGCGGGTGATTGTGATCTCCTAGCCGGCGAGCTGGAGCTGAGGAGGTGGGGAGGTGGGAGGCAGGGAGGAGGAAGGTGCTCTATGACATGCATCTGCAGGCTTGTGCTTCCCAGATCTTTCGATCAGAGGACATCCTCAGCCAAGCTTGGTTCCTCGGCGTCCTTTCCGAAGCCCAGGCTGGATATCGGGGCCTGACACTCTGGGTCCCCCTGTGCTCTCTCCCCGCAGACCCCCGACAGTGGACAGAGACCCACGTGCGGGACTGGGTGATGTGGGCCGTGAACGAGTTCAGCCTGAAGGGCGTGGACTTCCAGAAGTTCTGCATGAACGGAGCCGCGCTCTGTGCGCTGGGCAAAGACTGCTTTCTGGAGCTGGCCCCGGACTTCGTTGGGGACATCTTGTGGGAGCATCTGGAAATCCTGCAGAAAGGTACATGTGTGTGGATAGTAGGCAGGTGAATCTACCCATGTGCCAGGTAGTGGGACATCCATGCCATCCCCTGTGGGTGCCCATTACAGCCTAGAGGGCCTAAGACAGGCCAGGACAGGTGCTCAGTCCATGTGAGTCTCTTTTTCTTCTCTGTCTTGGAGGTTCCGATTTTAAGCTTTGGTAAGATTGCACTTATGACACTTCTTGCAAAATGGTGAGCCCAATCCTTATCTCAGACCCAGGACTGTTGCAAGGAGCAGAGCTCACAGCCAAGTCCGAGGGATATTTTGTTCCTAGTAATCTCCGTGCACACTCCCTTTATCCGCGGCCGCCTGGTGCCCGGCCTTGCCCACCAGGAAGCTTAGCGTCTCCCAGCTTGTTCATGCCACAGGCTCCTGCCCGCTGGCCGGGTGGGAAGGGCAGGAGCCCGCCTACCTTTGCATCTGGAGCAGGAACCGAGGTCACACCGGGACACTGTGTTGCAACCTTGTAATGACATGGCCTCCCCTGCTAGTCTCTTCCAACCTTTTTGGACCAAGTGACTCATGTACCACAGTCCTGGCTGAGGATAGAAACAGCAGCAGGCGGCAAACTTGGGTGTTTTTGCGCTTATTTTTCTGAATTTCTTCTTAAAATAAATGGCAGTTACCAGCAGTCAGCGGTGCCCTCCAGCTGACTGTAAGCCTAGAAGCCGGTCGCCCTCTGTGACCCAGGCCCACCCTTTCCCTGTGGTCACCAGCTCCAGCCCTTGGCACAGTCGCTGGGGGCAGGGAGCAGAGCTCAGGGCTAGCACTTTTACTCCGTATAATACCTTCCTTTGTTTAAGGATATTTTCCACTCTGCCGTGCTCCGCAGGGGCCCAAATTAGAGTCCTCTGCGCACAGGAGTGTTATCCTTTTTTCCCTTCTCTTCAGGTTCTGCTGAAAAAATAAATACACACAGGCAAAGCGAGGTGGCTCTTGCCCCAGGCGGCCAGGGATGGAGTTGGGGGGGAGGAGGGGAGTAGGAGGGGGGCGGTTAGCCGCACAGCCTTCCCAAAGCACAGACAGATTCCTCCTGTGGCTGCACACACCCCCACTCACACCTGTTGGTGAGCTGCCTATGTTTAGAGGGAGAGACAGGCCAGGCTCATCACAGGTCTGATGTGATGACCATTGGCTCCTCACTAGTGGGTCCTATCAGATCGTGTCACCCAAATATCTTCTGTTAATACATCCGTTTCCTCTACTTCTCACCATGGCATGGCCAGGGGATCTGGAGTGTCAATCTACCTCTGATCACCATTAAAATCAATACCTCTATAGCACCTCCTTGTAGTGTGTGTGTGTGTGTGTGTGTGTGTGTGTGTGTGTATGTGTATTTAGTATGTTGCCTTAAGGACCTACTAAAGAATGTGCCACCATCTTTAAGTGGTAGTTGCAATATCCTCGCCTAAAACAAAAATCAATGTTGACTGAAGCATTTTCTTTAATGGTGGTCTTTTAAAAAAAAAATCTGACCTTTCTCTTCCTTTTTCCATTGAGGGAGTCTGTTACCTTCCCTATTCACTGAGAAGTATTGACTTCGTGATTCTCATTCTAAAGCATTTCTGATTTAAATATTTTTGCCCATTTTAATCAATTATTAAATCTTTTCTTCTAGAAAGAAAAAAAAGAGAGGAAAAAAAACCCCACCACAATCAAAATGCTTTAAGCTACATTTTCCCTTTGGATTCCCACTGCAGCCCTGAGCCTAGGGAGGGCAGGCGCTGTGAGTGTCCCCATCTGTGAAGTGAGGACAGCTTAGATGGTTTTTTCATCACTCACTTCCTTAAACCAAGCCTTCTCAATTTAATTTCCTGCCCTGTGTCCTTTGTATAATAATATGGGCTCACGGGGGAGCTTCTGGTCCCCAAGAGAGGTTTGAGATAGCTTCTTGCAAAATAATGACAAGGGAAGTATGTTCGATGGCAAAGCTGGGTCCTCCCACCCTTTTTCTATGAGAGAGGCAGTGAGAACCCTCTGCCTTCAGGCCCCTGAAGAGCTGAGCGAGAGGTTTCTACGGAGGCTCTGTGATGAAACACAGCACAGAGCACCACAGCACAGAGAGAACATAGCTGCCTGGGGTGGGGTGGGGTGGAAGGCCAGAGGTACGGGGGATGTTTCAGTCTGATAAGCTTGCTTAAGCAAAGCGTAATCACTTTATCTCAACTGGGAACTGTTTTTCTGTGCAGGCATCAACTTGTTTTCCCAGCAGCCTCTGCTCCCAACAAAGCTATCAGATAGCCGAGGGAAAAATCCAAAGCACCCCTGTCTGTGTCTGACTCTGACAGGGTCATAGAACCAGATCCAGTCCACACCATGGGCAGAGGCCAGGAGGGTTGAGTCCAGGGCGGCTGGGGGGCCTGCAAGCTCCCCTTAGTTCAGCAGAGGGCTATTCTGGGCTCAGCTACCTCCATCTGCATTCCTTTCTCCTCCCCGGGTAAGTTGGCTCCCAGCAACAGTGGCTCTTCTGCTAACACACTGTTTCACCCAGCAGTGACCTTCCTGGTGTCCTGCTCCTTAGCTGGGCCTGAACTTGAAATCTGAGGACAATGGAAAAAGTACACAACAAAAAGCAGATCTCCCGCCAAAACCGGTTTGGCTCAGTGGATAGAGTGTTGGCCTAAGGACTGAAAGGTCCCAGGTTCGATTCTGGTCAAGGGCATGTACCTTGGTTGGGGGAACATCCCCAGTGGGGGGTGTGCAGGAGTCAGCTGATTGATGTTTCTCTTTCATTGATGTTTCCAACTCTCTATCCCTCTCCCTCTCTGAAAAAAAAAAAAATCAATAAAATATATATATATATTTTAAAAAAAGACCTCTGTTAGAAGAAATGGAGCTATAAGATCTACCTAAGAGCTATAGATTTAATATATATATATATATATTTTTTTTTAATATATTTTATTGATTTTTTATAGAGAGGAAGGGAGAGAGCTAGAGAGCTAGAAATGTCGATGAGAGAGAAATATCGACCAGCTGCCTCTTGCACACCCCCAACTGGGGATGTGCCCGCAACCAATGTACATGCCCTTGACCGGATTCGAACCCAGGACCTTTCAGTCCGCAGACCAATGCTCTACTGCTGAGCCAAACCGGTTTCGGCAAAAAAAAAAAAAAAAAAATATTTTTTTTATTGACTTCAGAAAGGAAGGGAGAATGAGAGTGAGATAGAAACATCAATGATAAGAGAGGATTGTTGATTGGCTGCCTCCTCCACATCCCCATGGGGAGGATCAAGCCCTCAATCTGGGCATGTGCCCTGACCAGAATCTAACCATGACTTCCTAGTCCATAGGTTGATGCTCAACCACTGATTTATGCCGCCCAGGCTAAAGATTGTAATATATCTCTGAAAAGCTTTGGAGCTGATCAGCTTGAGTGGTGGGGGCTGATTTTGGTACCTGCCCAAGCTGCCCTGTAGCCTTTGATGCAAATGTGGTCCACACAGGCATCAGAAAGAGGGTGGAATGCTTCCCCAGCTCGTAGGGATCACCCACTGGTGCTCTGTCCAAGATAAGAAGTCTCATCTTGTAGTCACTGACAGAGTCACCTTAGCCATACCTTTGTGATCTCATCCTTAGATGAAGCCCCAGTCAGGGCGGACTCACAGCCCCACTGGGCTAAGGAACACGCAGGTTTCTTCAAAGAGGGGCTGAGATCATTGTGCTTCTTGCGTCCGAGGCCCTGTCGGGCCAAGCAGCACTCGTGGGTTGACCTCTCTGTCTCGTCCCCTCCCCTGTGTGTTGCAGAGGATGTGAAGCCCTATCCAGTGAATGGAGTCAACCCCACTTACCCAGAATCCCGCTATACCTCGGACTACTTCATTAGTAAGTTCACCCGTCACTCTTCTCCCCTCCTCTTGTTCCTTGGGGAAGGAGCCCTGTCCCAACTGAGCTCTAGCTCCCTCATGGTAATTCTATGGCAAGCAATATTTTCTTAAACACAGACTATTTGGTATACATTCTATCCCCTCTACCTCCTCCACACCCCTACCCCCCTCAAAGCACAAGGTCTGCATGTTGTTCTGACCTGTAAGGACCTCCCTCTGATACCATCAGCCTGAAAGTGGCACAGAGGGCTGCGGCCATTCCTATAGGAGCCTGCGCACTGGGGGACCATTGGAGGGAGATGGGGTTAGGGGTCTGGTCATGGCCCTTGTTCTCTCCCTTTGACACATGGATCTGACAGCGTTTCTTCCGAAATCCTCCCTACAGAGAGGGCCATGCAGCTTCAGATTCGTTCCAGATCTGGCTTTGCATCTCCCACAGAAAATAAAACCGTGCCCCTTCTTGCACAGGACACCTCATCATACCGCAGAGGGGGCCAGAGGGAGAGTTAATGCAGGGCTCTTCTGGATTTGCTTCCAAAGGGGCTCTTCAGCAGCTTCCTTTTTGTTTTGTTTTCTCTTTATGATGATTTTTCTTATAAGAACAACATAAGTTCTATGGCGTAAGAGCTTACCCTGAGCCAGAGATGTCAGTAGGCGTTTTGCATATATATTCTTGTTTGATTTTTATCACCATGCTCCAAGCAAGATGGCCATCATCCCTGTTTTGGAGATGAAGAGATGAAGCCAGGAAGGGGAGGTGTCTCGCCCAGGGCCCTAGCAATTAAGAAGTGGAGCAAGGTTAACTAGCCTCGAGGCCCTTCTCATTGAAAATATTTTCCTCTTACTCTCTACGGTAGTCGGCCTGTTACACATTGTGGGGCGGTGTCCATGGTGAAGAACTGCTTGCTTTAGGTACAGTGCTCTTCCCCTCTTTAATGCCACCCTCGGTCTGTTTCCAGGCTACGGTATCGAGCATGCTCAGTGTGTCCCTCCCTCGGAGTTCTCAGAGCCCAGCTTCATCACAGAGTCCTACCAGACGCTCCATCCCATCAGCTCCGAGGAGCTCCTCTCCCTCAAGTATGAGAACGACTACCCCTCGGTCATCCTGCGGGACCCTCTGCAGACAGACACCTTGCAGACGGACTACTTTGCTATCAAGCAAGAGGTCGTCACACCAGACAACATGTGCATGGGGAGGACCAGTCGTGGTAGGTTCGATTTCTTCTCCAGAAGCTTTTGGTTTTCCAAGAGTTCCCTAACGCTGGGAGTTTTTCAGATCTGCTGTTTCCCCCTCGCTATGGGCCCTGGGTATTCCTGAGGTTCATTCAGCCTTTCCATCTGAGACTGTGTGGATCTTAAGAACTTTCCACCATGGGACTTTAGCCACGCCCATCAGCATGGGACAATGACCTCGGGTTGACTCTAGATTGAAATCCGGCAGGATGACCAATCACATTCTGTATTTGCGTAAGACATTTTACCAAGGAATAACTAGTTTGGATGTGGTTGCTGTTGAAGTTATTCTTGATAATTATTTTTTTAAAGAGGATTTTTGCTCACGGAGGACACAATCCAACAAAAATGATGCAGGTGACCCTCCTGATAGCTTAGTTGAGCATTGCCCTGATGCCCCAGAGCATTCTGGGTCAGACTGCCTGGAATCTGAATGACATCTGCTGCTCCGCCTGGGCTCCTGAGGCATCTGTGAGTTTGGGAAGATACAGGATGGTTAACCAGTAGTTGTTTTGGAACCGGTCATCAGCAGTGTGGTGACAGCGTGTATTTAGCCGGAGGATCCAGGAAAGAAGTGGCTAGAGGCTTCCCTAAGAATGTGTCCTTGTTGACATGACTTATGACATTGATACAATATTCACGGACAGTGAAGTAAATGTTCCAGAATTGAGCTGGTTGACTTTTTAAAAAATATATATATTTTATTGATTTTTTTTTTTTTTTTTTTTTTTTTTTTTTTTTTTTTTTTTTTTTTTTTTTTTTTGTACAGAGAGGAAGGGAGAGGGATAGTTAGAAACATCAATAAGAGAGAAACATAAGAGCTGCCCCCTGCACACTCCTTATTGGGTATGTGCCTGCAACCAAGGTACATGCCCTTGACCGAAATCGAACCTGGGACCCTTCAGTCCACAAGCCGACGCTCTAACCACTGAGCAAAACCAGCTAGGGCTGAACTGGTTGACTTTTCAAAGTAACAAAAGTTTAACAAACTCGGATTTTAAGAGAGGGACATGAACCCCTGGCAGGGCAGCCACCCTCGCAAAGTGTGCAGATGGTTTTGTTGCCGAGACAAGTGCAGTCCACTTGTTCCTCCAGGGATTTGTTCCTCCAGGAAGAACTTAGCTGAGTTTTAAACAGTCTTAAAGGGCACCTGTTACCATAGATAACGAGAGGGAATTGCAAGCAGGAGGAGGAACAGCAGAAAGCCCATGAGAGGGCTCAGAGGCCTTGGCTGGCTGGCCTCCTGGTGGCTTCTGCACAGGACACTCTGAGGCACTCGGAGAGGGGCAAAAGCATCTTTGCTTTGAAGAGCCCCCCTCGGCATTCTGGGCCACATACCTTGCCATCTTCCTCCAAGATTTGGGTGTACACTTCCTCCTGGTAGGCCTCCGGGCAGCCAGCAGGCGGGCCTGCTCAGGGAAAGTCCCCAGTGAGATCAGAACCTGTAATCTCTCTGCTTTGGGCACCAGGCTGCCTGGGTTTCAAACAGAAGGGGATGGGTGGGATCAAGTTTGCCTTCCCCTTTCTGAGCTTTATTTTTGGGTGCATGTCTATTTAAATACATACACAAATGTGCCTGTGGATCCTTCCCTCCCCCTCTTCCCCCATTCAGGGGGGGGGCAGGTCAGAGCATTCACACAGCTCCCTCTCCTATGGGGCTTTCTGTACGTCTGTGTGTTGAGGCCGAGCCTGTGGGTTTTGGGGCTCAGCCATGTTGTAACTCTGGGCAGAGCTGCTGTCACATGCTTCTCAGTTGCATCTGGCTTCGCATTTGTGTAATTGTCTCTGCTTCTCCTTCTCTTGGTTCTTGGTTTCTGTCCCCGCCACCCCTCCAACCCCAAACTAATAGCAGGGGAGCAGAGAGTGACCTGTAGAAAGGGCGTGAGGTATTTCTCTGGCCTCATCCTCCTTCCCTCACACCAACTTCAGACCACACAGACTCGGGGGCCAGACTGTCCTGCCCGCAGCTGCTCTCTGCATGTTAGCAGTGCTGCAAAGAAGGACGTGTTCTGAGGGCTGACTGAATCTGACAGCGGTGTGATTGGTCTAGGCTGGAAGCATCACTCTGAGCTGTTGTTATGAATTCAACTATTCACGTGCTGCCTTATTTCATACCAAGTGCTTCTCTGGCCCACCTCCTTAGACTCTGAGAGCCATGGTTGTGCCAGTCTGTTCAGGGGCTGCTGGGGGGGCCACCCCATCTGCTGCGAGCGCTCTTAGGTCTGCTTGGTGGAGTCAGGTCGCTTTGGAAGGACCTCGCTGAGGGACATCCTTGAGGGCATGTGCTTCCTTGCCTCATCCCAGTAGCACAAGCGAGTCTCATCGAGTTGGATTCAGCCCATTTTTGGAGAGAAAATGCCCGTAAACAAAGGTTCCTCGCTCCAGGATTGTGAAACGGAGCTGAAATGGAAGCAGCTCACTGCTGCAAACCGCAGCTCCCCACGGAGTTGCCTCCAGCTCATGTTTGGGAGGATGCCAGAGAGTGGCTTCGTCCAGGTTAGTGTCCTGCTTGCTGGGACTTCTGGGAAACGCAGCTGTCTGCTTGTGGAAATCCTGGCCTCCGTGCCTTCCCCAAAAACACATGGCTGATAGAGAAAGCATCATTCCAGGGAGACTTATGTGTACATATGCCCTAAGTGTCGGTGACTTGGGAGGGGGAGGAAGTGTTCTCTATGAAAACATTCTCTTTTGTTGGCTTTTGGTGTGTTTATCTCGCAGAGACGTGGATAGACCATTCAGACGGATAGCTTTTTAGGGGAGGCCATCAAATGTCCAGTTCTGTTAGAAAGAGGGTATTGCACTCTGGCTGTGGGCTGTTTTCTGGAGTCTTTTAATGTGGATTTCTGGAAGGGGCATGTCCTTCACTTATAAAGAGTTGTGGATGTGACAGTGGACTGGTTAGGCAGGGCCCGTAACCCTATGAAGCTCTTCCGTTTGCCTTCTGGACCTGCCCTTCTTTGAATGGATGGTTGGAAGAAGGGTCAGGAAGAAGTAGCTAAATGACTCCCCTTGTGTTAGAAGCAGTATTGGAGAGGATAAGAGGCTCAGGAAATCTACAACAGCGGAATATTTAAAAATGACACATTTCACTGAATACCCTTATTCTGGGATTTAAAAAAAAAATTAAAATTCCCAACTTAGTTTTTCCTTATTAATTTTGGTTTGGACACCAACATTAAATATTTGAGTTTCTCTTTTTTTTTTTTTTTTTTTTTTAAGCCAATCTCAACTATTAAGGAAAGGGAGAATGTGCCCAAAACACACTGGTATGGGTTTGTATTGGCCAAACTTATCCTGGAATTTAAACTTGTAAGCAGATCAGCCAGCTCCGAGCAGTTGAGAGTTGACTTGTAGGTATTTCTACACACAGATTGGTCACATCCTTTGCCTGGTGACTGACTTGTGCTGAGTCGAGGTGACCATTTAGTGACCCAGGATTGAAGTTAGGTTGCCTGCAAGGTATCTGGAAGAACCTAGAAAATACTCCTGCGAGCCTTTTCAAGCTCTTAGATGCATTTTTTCCTCCAATTTTTGTTCGCTTGCCTCCCTGTTCAATGGCATTTTTGCCAATGGAAATTTCTCTTGGAGCGATTATGCAATGATAGCAGCTGTTTACAACCTGGTTTGGGAAATTAATGAACTTGCATGATCTTGCGGTCAGCGAAGAATGCTTTAAGCAACTGGGAGAGTAAAGGATTTCTGACATTGCTGTGGACCTTAATAACTCTCTCATCAACTCCTTTGTTTTTTTATTGCCCACAATTGCTTCCCCAACGAAGGACAACTTTCAAGTACAAAGTTGTACTTGGAGAGAATTGGCAGCATGGGTTTCTGTTTAGAAGCATGATTGCATATTTTTCTTTTTAATCCCCTGGAAAAAAAAAAGCATCCCGTTACTTCTTTCTCTATTTGAAAAGACATAGAGGCCATGCTTATATTTCATTTTAAAATAGTATTTTGGGGAAAAATGCTTAAAAAATAGCTCTTCAGCTTCAAGGTCACAGAAGGTCAATCTGCTCTTAGCCGAATGGAATTTTTTTCTTATGACCAAAATATTTTGCCAAATCGGGCCTTTGGAAATTATCTCATTGGCCTGAGTTGGACTAGGGAGTTGAGTTCCACTGCTTCGGTTTCTTCACTTACTCATTCAGCCTAAGGCATCAGCCAGAAACCTACCAGAACATGTGTGGGTCTCGGGTTTTAGATTTCTGGCTCGAGGGTTCTTGAGGTCCTAAGCACTGCTGTCTCCCTCAGACAGGCAGGAGTAGCCTGTTGCTAGGAATCTCCATCCTGGGACCTGGAGAACAAGACAGCTCTCACACTGCAGCCAGCCCAGCCCCTTCTCCCCCAGAGCCAACCCACAGCTCTCGTCCCCATGGCCTCTCCCTTCTTCCATGCCTCCTGCGGGTCTGATGAGCGATCTGTCCTCACTCCGAGGATTTTTACGGTTGTCTCTTCCCAATCCCTCCTCCCCTGCCTTCTTCCCACCTCCTCCTCCTCCACCTCCAGGTAAACTCGGGGGCCAGGACTCTTTTGAGAGCATAGAGAGCTACGATAGTTGTGACCGCCTCACCCAGTCCTGGAGCAGCCAGTCATCTTTCAACAGCCTGCAGCGCGTTCCTTCCTATGACAGCTTCGACTCCGAGGACTATCCGGCCGCCCTGCCCAACCACAATCCCAAGGGCACCTTCAAGGACTATGTGCGTGACCGCGCTGACCTCAACAAGGACAAGCCTGTCATTCCTGCTGCTGCCCTGGCTGGCTATACAGGTAGGCGCCCGCCCCTACCACGGAACCTCCTCGGAGGGCATGCTGCTGTGGGTAGACTCAGTGGAGGGCCATGGGCCCATATCCCCAAACACCGAAGCCTTCCTTTTCTCTGTGCAGGGAGTGGGGAAAAGACTCTTAAGAGGTCTGGTCAGCCTTTCAGGCACCTCTGTTGATGAATAGCCATTGATTGTTAGGAGCAAAGAGGATCCTTCTGTTCAAAGGGATCATTTCCAAGAGTCGTAGGAAAAAAATGTATATTTTGGGTCTTTTTCCATATCTGGGGGAAGGGAACTATGTGAAGTTGGCGTCTCTGGAAACTCTGCCTCGTGGCCGAGCATCAAGGGCCTCTCTCTAGCTGGCTCTTAGAAGGACTTTCAAAATAGAGAACCAGCAGCAGCATCTCTAGGAGGCATCCCTGCATGGCCCGCACCAGGGCTCTGCTGTGGGGGAGCATGCGTTAGGCAGGCTGTTCTGGTGGCAAGAGTGTCCTTGGCCACCTGAACTCTGCCAGGTCTTGGCCAGGCACCCTCTCTCCTCACCTGGCTTTATGACGGCTTCTCTCCCAGGAGCGGAAGTGATGGCGAATGAAGAAAGACTGTAGAGGGAGGGAGATGCATGTTCAGAGCTTGGGCTTTGGTTGAGAATCTGGTGCTAGAACCAAACAATGTCTTGTCCAAGTGAGCGCCTGCACAACCCTGGAAACCTTTGCGGCGTGTGTGTATGGAAACTATCCAAGGAGCCATCTAGTGTCGGGGCTCAGGTCCTTCTGTCCCATGATGGTGTTTTTAAAAACTAGAAATCGTGTTGTGAGTGCAGCCAATGCTAGTGGGTTACTCATCTGGGGCCTAAGCCTTGATTCTCTTGTCTATTACTCCACCCTGGTCAGATTGCCATGTGGGGGATGAAGCTGAGCAGTAACACCTGCATTTCTGTGGAGATAGCTGAAGAGTGAACTACATCTTCATGTGTGTCAGGAAGCCTAGAAAAACAGCTGACCTCTGAGAGGAACTCAGCCGCATAGAGAAATCACCCCTTTTTCAGAGACCAGGAGTGGGCCCTGGAGTGCTGTTCAGGACAAGTGCAGGTGCCCAGGAGTTGGGTCTATGTTTTCAGGCAGTGACAAGGTCTCTATGGAGCCAGGAGCCAGAGAGGAACTTAATGTTCCCCTCCTTGGTCCCTCTTTCTATCCTGTCCCCTATGGTCTTTGCTGGAAGGTCACTTGTGTGTGGGAACTTGTTACTTTTGAAGGGACCCCCTTTCCAGCTCCAGAGAGCAGACTCCTGGAGAGTTTGCCCATTCCTGTTCATGACTCTGGGGGTGGGAAAAAGTAAATTCAGTCTCTTTCAAGATGCACAAACGTTCTGGCTTCTGTAGTTTACAAGGCTAGTTTAGGTATTTGAAGAACTAGACTCCAGTTGGATTCACTGATGGAGGGAGAAGAGCTGCTTTGTTTGGGTGAGGAAGGAAAGGCCTCCGTGGCTGAGCGATGGCTCTGTGGGCTCTGGAGGTGGTAGGCATCTCCTTCTGGGCACGCCGGCTTCTGTTCTTGGGATGTAGAGAAACCACGCCCTGCCATGTACCTGAACATAAAGGCCAAGTCTTCCCTACAACTTCCACCCCAACTTCCGGTACTCATTCTCAACTTAGTTTCTCCTTAGTAAAGAGGCGTCTTTGTTCACTCTGGCATATTCTCCGCTATAACCACCATCCACATCCACAACCATAATTCTTTTCCCAGCACAGTTTCCATCCTTCTCTCTTAGCTACAGATGTGATTCTGTGAATTTCCATAGTTATGGCAGTTTGGTGGGTAATGAGATTCAATAAACTGACTTCAAGTCCTCAAGTGTGAGTTCTGGTCAAAGAAAACCCTGGGATTTAGGTCAATCTTCATGGGATTTAGGTCAATCTTCATGAGATTCTGGTAAGGGTCCTTGGGCCACACAGCAAAGGTCTAGATGCTTACAGACATGGTAAAAGCCCGATTTCCACCTCAAGTAGGAACTTCTCAGCACATGATGCCATGTAACATTATTGGATTTTCACATGGGAGATGCCCGCAGAGCTAATAGCCTGCAAGGGTGACTGAAAGGGTTTTGTCTAAGGTGGTTTTAGAACCTTGACAAGAATGATCTGAGAGCCGGGATCTTTCCCAGTGTCCCAGTTTTGAGGAGAGAAGGACAGAGATGGCTTGGACATTCCAAGGACTAGGAATGAGTGTGAAGTACAAATGAGGGACATGAACAGTCAAGACAGCCAACACCAAAGGCTGCCTGTGAGACTTCTCTGGCAATCCAGACTCGGGGACAAACAGATAAAGCATCAAGAGCTCTTTTATCACAAGTATAAATAATGTCCTGGAGGTCTGAGTTATGTTTGATCCCTTATTTGGATATATATTTTTTAATAGATGCCCCTTTTTTCTTCCCTGCTTCCCTCCCTCCTTTTCTTTCTTCCATCTTCTTCCTCTCTCTCCCTCCTTCGCCACCCCTCCACCCCTTTCTCTCTCTCAGAATAAAAAATTCAGTAAGTGGAAGAAAAGGGAGAGTGATTATTGATCACAGGTCTCAAAGACTAAAATAGTCATTTGAATTACAAAAGATGTTCTTGAGGATCTCACCATTCACTTGTTTCTTCTTTCAAATTGTAGGTTTAATTTTTCATACTATTTTAGATCACGGTGAGAACAATAGCCCAGAAAAACGGAAGTCCCTCACACCCCCTCCCAACTCTAACACACTGTGTGATTTTAGGCAAATTTACCTTGTACCCTTTTCTACTTTTAGCGAAGGAGAAGTGTTCACCCTTATCTTGGCGATAGAAGATCTGTGAAAATGTAATTGAACCAAATCGATTAATTTAAACAAATAAGTGCTAGACATTGTGCTAGACATAGACGCGGGAAGAGCTTAATGGTAGCAAATCAGCTATTTCAGCCAATGTTTCCAAGCACATGTTGAGTGCAGATAAGTGCTCGGAGCTTTTGAGGGTTCACTATCTTGTCCAATTCAATATTAACGTAATTGTCTTCAGACTTGAATTGGATTTTCTTAGTGCTGTGGTTTCTATGAAGGCCAGGATTTGTTAGGCAGATGGGGCGGGAAGCCCACATGGCTTTTTGCTCTGCTCAGTGTCTGCTAAGCGTCTCCTGCCCACATTGCAGACCAATTCTAGGTGGTGGGTGTTTGCTCTGGAGCCCTCACTGTGGCCCCTTCTCATTTCAGGTGCATCCTAGAGAATGGGGAAAGGGGGGGAGCATACCACGTGAGCCCCAGCACTGCCCAAAGAGCAGGTGGTGACTGGAACACAGATGGGTCTCTCACTTTATGCAGACATGCTAAGATGAGCTGAAGTTTGGAAAAAAAATAATTTAGAAGGTGGAAATCATTGTATAAGTGCTGGCAACCCTTTTTATTGCTTGTAAAAGTCACACCTACTATATATTTTTTTTTATCTCAAGTTCTGCCTCCCTGCCTCCCCCAACTCCCTTAAATTTTGATTGCTCCAAAGTATGGGTGGCCACACAGTAGGAGCACGTGGACCCTGACATCACAATTCCTCAGCCTAAATGAAAGGATGTATATGTATAGCTTCTCTGAGCTGGGGAGCAGAACCCATTTTCCTACCTTTACACCAGGAGCCTAGGTCTCCATCCATATCACTTTCAAAGAAATCCATTTTATTTCTGCCGATGATGTCTCAGTGACTACACTGTACGTGTGGAAATCAGTTAGAAACTGAATTTTCACATTTTTCTTGCACAGTTACATTCTTCCTCCGAAGATAAGAAAATTGCATCAACCTTCGCTGGGCTCCCATGGCAACTTGTTAAATTAGGTCAAGATGTGGGGGCAGATAACAGGGCTTGAAAGCCTGCCTGTTAGCCGAGTTAAGAATACCTCAAATGCAACGCTGGCTTCCGCCAAATATGTCTTCTTCCCTTGCTATGAACTGCCTATGGTTGTCAAACTGATACAATCGGAAAGCTCCATTTTTCTCTTGTTCGAGGGTACATTATGAGCCGCACCTAATGAAGAAGACAATCTGAGGCAGGCGACCCAGTGTTTTCTGGATTGTTAGCTGGTCGACCTAAGCAGAATGCTTTCCAGATTCTGGGGACAACAACAACAACAACAACAACAACACAAAAAACAGAGGCCTCTCTCATTTTTTTACTTTCAGTTTCAGTAGGTATAGAATCACATACTGGACTGTCAAGTAGTAGTCTCTTTTCTGTTCCTCCAGCCCCATTTTATAGGTGATAAAACTGAGGCATAAAAAGGGACTTATTCAAGGCCACCTAAGTGCAGCTGGCACAGAATGGTAGCTCCTGAATTGAATCTGCAAAGTGTCATATGCCTACGGATTTTGTCTCCATATTAAGGAATGAAAGTACTCACGGGTTATTATCTCAGTTACCGCCTCAGAGTAGATCAGGCCCGATAGTCACCAATTAACCTTGTATGAAAGCGACTTAGCAGAATGGAGGATGGGGCAGGGGTAGCTTTTGGCTTTCAGCCGGAGTTATTGGTCTCTAAGTCACCCATATCCAACTCCATTCCAGATTGCCAGGCATTGCCACAGATAAGGAACCCATTTCTGTCCCTGCTGGGATTGCTACTGAGCCGACCTGGTGGGAATGCCCTGTTGTCAGTATCCAGGGGTATCCCCACGCTTGGGGTTGCTATGGTGATTGAAGTGGTTAGGGTTTCTCTTTTTCCCCCCGGGAGTCTGAGGATAGCTAAGCCCGAAGCCATTCCTGAACTGTAAGGGAGTTACAGTTTTATAGTGCTGTGTGGGGTTTGCGACTAGAGAGACCCGCAGTGTCCCCAAAAGTAAACTGGAGACTCAATTCTGAAATTCAACTTCCACATATTCTGGCAGGAGACAGAAACAGGTACGGGTCTTGTAAAAAAAGACATTCCCCTGCAGGCCCTCTCTAGTCGCTCTGGCCTGTAAGAAGTCTTCTTGCAGAGGCTCTGGAACTTTGTAGAGGCTCT